TTCTGATGTAGTGTGTGTGTTGTATAGAGTAGTGGTATGTACATGTAAACCTCTGATTGGTTGGCCACCGGGATTTGAATCAGACCTGAACCCTGCGATTAGGACCCCTGAAATTAAGACCCCCGCAATCTGAACCCCAGAATCAAGGACCCCTCTCCCCTGATTTACATGTTGATCGTTTAGCAACAAGTGTATAATTATATCATTCTCTGCTTGTTGTCCATTTGAATGTGGCGGAAACTCTCCCAAGGATTAATAATGTCTTGACATGCAAGACTCCTCTTCAATGCCACAAAATAACCCTTCTCTCCCCCTCCCTCTTTTTCTCTACTTACAGGCATATCTGGAGTTCTTCTGTAGTCCGTCGTTCATGAGAGCGCTAATGACGGTCCTGGTGGACTATCCTCAAGTCAACTACCACATTGTCAACAGACAGGTATATATACCACACAACTAAAGACTAAGGGAACGAGGGGAAATCCATGTGGGAGGACGAGGGGAGGTAGGGGTAGGGTTGGGGTACCACAGACCCCGGGGTGGGGAAAACGGGGTAGGACGATGGGGGAGGGTGTCCGGAGTAAACCATGAGGTAGGACTATCCTCAAGTCAACTACCATAATATTGTCAACAGACAGGTACATACCACACAACTAAAGACTCTGTCGACAAGAGAGCATCGTGATTGTTACTCAACTGCAAAAGTAGAATTTCAGTTTTTAGCACACCAGGTACAGACGTCTGTCTACTGCCTTTGAGAAACTTTTGGTGAAAACTTGCTATTTTTCAGAGGTTCTTGAAATTTTTTGTTAGCGAAATGTTTTTTAGCACGAAACCAGAGTTGTGACTATAGCCACTGCAGTATATATAGCTGTTCAAATCCCTCCACCCTCTTCTCCTTCCCAGGGAACGGAAAACATGACAAACTGCGACTCCTACCAGCCAATAGCGGTCACCTGGGGGGTTTTCCCTGGCATGGAGATCATACAACCCACGGTCGTCGACCCTGTCAGCTTCCATATTTGGAAGGTATAGCCACAAATCACTTCTTTTTCGTTCTCATTTTGCTGTTGTTGTTCCAAACATTTCTCTTTCTCATTATTTCTGTGAATTTCCTGCTGTTCCTCTGTTTTACCGTTCTCCCGTCTTCTACGGAATTTTGCAATCTGCTTTTTTCTGCGACTTTCTTGAGACATCGAGCCTTTTCTTTTTACCATTACAAGATGTTACTGATGGTGTCTCCCTCCTTTAGGACGAGGCCTTCATGTTGTGGGGGACCCACTGGGCCAGTCTCTACAGCCCCGAGTCCACCTCCCACCACATCATCTCACACATCCAGAACACCTACTACCTCGTCAACCTCGTCGATAATGACTTTGTCACTGGAAACGTCCTCTTTCAGGTTGGTTCACCAATAGTAGGTGTTTTGAGGCTCTCCCATACCTGTGTTAAAAATATAACAGTAAAGAGACCATTTTTGTGTCTCTCTCTCTTTTCCTCCTCCATTCCCCTCTCCTCCTCTTCTCTATATATCTGAGTCAGTTAGGACCCAATAATGACCAGATGATGAAAATTCAGTTGGTTGCTTGTATTCACATTCATCCAATCAGTTTTTTTCCAGAAATTATGTACCAATGTTTCGACTAGAGCTAGGCTCATTTGTGCATGCCTTAATACTCCCCGTTCATAATCTCCCTTTTTTCTCTGTACCTTTCCCCCCTCTCTCTCTCTCTCTCTCTCTCCTCTCTCTCTCCTCTCTCTCTCTCTCTCTCTCCTCTCCTCTCCCAGCTGGTGAACAAGGTACTGGACGGTATGAGCAAAGCCAGTAGTCCCACAACTGAGACTGACCAAAACTCTCTCCCCTCCTCCTCCTCATCTTCATGACTTCCTATTGTCTAAAATTTTTTTATTGCGCGTGCGCACATTGTTTACAAATCACGTGATTCTAGCAGCCACGCCCCTGTGCTCATTTCTCGTCTGGGTTTTGTTCTTCGCCCAACGTTTCCGACAGTTTTCAAGGCCCGCTTTCGATCGACGAGGTCGACCACTGACGACACAGTAGTAGTACAGCCGGCCAGAAGCAGCTCACGTGACTCAGAGATGGCTACTGGAGGAGGCGGGGACCAAGTCTGGACGTGGAAGAAACGTAAGACAGTCGCCCCGAGCCGCGCCCCCCACGTAGGAAATAAAATGATAACTGTTATGTTATGACTGCCCAGTGAATGATGATGATGGTATTGTCTTATGTAAAGATGACGTTTTGTGTAACGTCATCACTAGCCATATATCGGATGAAGTTAGTGATTAGTGATGATGTCATTGTCTTTCCTCGCAGCACTCCCTCCAAGTAAAGCCACACTCAGAAGGTCTTTGAGAACACCAGTGACCTCAGTCGCATCTGCAACCATCTCTCCATCCCTCATGATATGTGGGATGTTGACAGTGCAGTAGAGTACTATGTACAGAGTACAGATCCAATGAAAATGAGAAGGATGATATCCTGGCTGGACCTGATTGGAGACACAGCTCTAGCAGACTCATTGATGGAGTATGCAGAGCCCCCAGCAGGTATGGCTACAATAGAGAACACAACACAGCCAGTCAATTGTATACCTCTGGCTATATTGAAACCCCACCACAGCATAGCTGTGTGTATATCATCATCAGGGGTTCATCGCAAGGGGGGTGGGGGGAGGGGGGCCAAATGAGTAATTGTGAAATAAAGGGGGGGGGTGGGGTGGGGCAAAGCTGTTTTCTGAAAATTATGTACCAATGTTTCGACTAGACCTATGCTCATATGTGCAGGCCTTAATACTCCACGTTCATAATCTCCCTTTTTTCTCTGTATATGCCTTTCTAAAGTGCAAACCCTCTGCGGAACTGCGCATGCCCAGGGCGATTATGCATATTGCCTTTTCACTTGTTTTCACTGCATATCTCTCGAACACAGTCGTTTCGAAAAATCACCTAATAATTTTCAGCTCACGTAGTTATGAAGCCACTGGTATTGCTAATTGCCTGCCTCGTAGCCCTCGTAGTGCCAGAATAAGCGTCGACACAGACACACAGACAGACAGAGGTGGCATAGTGACTATAGTGTGTGGTACTGTAGTTGCTGCAGTTGCACACCAGTCAGGCTTGTTTTGCATATTTAAAAGTTTACTTTAACTCCAAGAGGGGTGACGAGATTTGATCAAGTCGGGGCGAGCGCCCCCTCTACCCCCACCCTAAATGAACCCCTGATCATGTTGACATGTGGAAGACTAGATTTTGTGAAACTGTCTTGAAGTAGCCTTCTTCCCTGACTCTCCCTCTGCATTATAATAGGTTTTGCTGGAAACAAAAAGCACTGAAGTATAATAAATTATTATAATACAAAATCCTTAATGAAAAGGCACCCTCGGTGCAAGGATCGTGCATGCAGCGTTGATATGCACTTTACACATGCTCTTAACATGATTAATGTTTGGGAATAGTCAATTGATGACAGTGGCTGGTCCTCTCCTCAGATCCATCCCTCAATCCACACCTCCTCATACCAGTCTTTACTGCCATATCTGGAGACTGGGGGGATTGATGGTACTACACTACAGTACCAGATGCCAGGGCTGCTCTCTTCCGTGAGAAGTTCAGTGATCGTGATCAAGTCACTGCTGAGGCTGGGAAGTACTACGCTCTCTATCATCATGATCCCAGCTGGAAAGACTTATCCTGCCGTCTCTATGCAGCAGGAGAAACAAAGGCTGTGGGGATTGCCAAACCTCACGTACAGACTGTGACTGGTATGTAATTGACTAGTGAAGTGAGCCTACCTAGTCGTCTGAATGAATGTGAGTCAGTGAGTGATGGGTACTGCATACCAATGTTCTACGTGATTCTCACACTCACCACATTAATTGGGGAGTGAAGCGAGCCCACCTACATAGGCGTCTCAATGTGGAATTTTACCATATTATATCTTATCTGGTGACAGACCCACATACTGTAATGTTTAGCATTAAACATGTGAAATATTGATTCACTCGCCACTACATGCCATAATATTCAGTGCTAAAACTGTGAAATATTGAAATGCTCACTTCACTCACCAAGAATGTCATCTAGTATGCTTGCATTCCTCTAGTAACAATTATACACTCACATGTTACATGTACTACTTGTACTTTATGTGTTAGGAACACATGTAGTAACAACAGTTCTCCAACACACTGTCCTGTATTTGGCCTACACTCACACATGGACATTGTACTTGTGTGTACTGCCCTCCCTGATCCCCTCCCCAAAGACCTGCACTGAGAGTCAGCTAAAACTGTGTGTCATGCACTGGACCCATTACATGTGGACTAACACATTCACTGTGTCAATCATGTCTTCATGCATGTTCAACGAAGCATACCTCTGTGTACTATGGATGTTACTATTTTAGCAGCTGTGTGTATTAATATCATACCTAACCTTGCATACATTTGTGATAGGAAACAATAGTCACTGCATATTCTCCCTCTCTCACTCCTCCAGACCCCAGCCTGACTCCAGCCAACATCCTACAAGTCACACGCCATGTCCCACTGTGGAGTAGTGTGGATTCCAACATCTTTCTTAACATCCCACTCAGCCAGCATGATGAGATACTAGGAAATTTTATGATGATGAGGAGCGAAACGAGAATTGATCACTACATGGCTGGCCGGTCACCCCTGTCCTACCTGGGAACACGTTATGACACTACTGGAGGTTGGAGTTTGGGGGGAGGAGAGTAAGAGAGCAGCACGTGAGGTGGAGGAGACATACCTCAAGAGTGAGTTAGTAATCATTACGTTTGTGAGTTTACATTATGATTGTTGTAATGACATGATTCAAAGGGTGATAGTGAAGCCAGTGCTATATCTTTAGCTAAGCATTGTTCATTGGACACATGCAGCTTCAGTGTACAATGAACATGAGCATCTATGTACCTACATGTCTAGTGTTGGGTGTGGTTTGTGGTTTGTAACCAGATGTACACGTAATTCAGATGTAACAAAAGTTTTACAGAAAGTGTGTGTGCCCTTTTAATTTGTGTGTGCCTGAAAGGGGGACATATGCCCTCTCTCCAGCTCCATCCTCTATATGTGACCCGCTACGGGAAAAGGGCCCATTTGACGCAAAATAATATTTCCGAGTAAACGGCCAAAACACGCCGAAAATCCACCCATCATGAAAAAACATGTTTATAGCATACTAGCTAAAAGTCAGAGGAAAAGAAAGAACCTCCCCCACCCAAGAACACAAAACACAGACAATAATATACCCAAGCACACAAAACACAGACAATAACATATAAACAGAAAGAAAGAGGCAGGACCCTGGGTGCCCAGCCTTGAGAACCGGGGCGGTAGGTTAAAGAGTCTTTTATGGGCCTAACTCTCCCTACACACCCAGTGTCCCAACCTCCCTTACACATAGTTAGAAAATAAATAAATAGAAATCATGTACAAAAAAACGACAGCTACAGGATAAAAACAACAGCCGGTAGAAAAATAGAAAGCCTCAAAGGACCAATAAACTCATAGAAAAATATAAAAACTCTGAAACTCACGTAGCACGACGACACGACGGAGACATAAAAAAACGTGCGATTACTCTAAATAACGCACAGCATATACACGTGTAAGAAAAATATAATATCATTAGAGCTCACTCACGCTGAATTTCGTGTCTTCTAAATCTAGTAGATTTCACGTTTTCGTGTATTCTAAGTGCCCGGGGCGTTTTTGGTGCGCGCGCATATAGTAGGTGCGCGTTAATTAGAAAACCACGCGCTGAGTTCAACATAGTATTACTGTGCGCTAATGGTCAGTGAGTGTGCGGGGTAAATAGTCTGGTGATGACAAGGCCGGATCAGTCGGAGTCGGAATCGCTCTCGATGAATGCCCGTTTCCTAGCCCTTTTCGTGGAGTTACTGGCGTTTCCGGGGGCCATGTAGAAGTTTACCGTGCAACGTTCGAAAACAGCGTTTTGGTTGCTACGGGCGCGCAGAGCCTGCGCCCGCTCTAAATAAGTTAGGCAGGCTCGTCCAATGAAATCTACGCGATTTAGAAGGCCTCGGGCCCTTAGTAGCGTCCTCGCTACGCTCGGACGCTAGAGCCCAAGGCCCTCGGCCTTCTAAATCGTGTAGATTTCACCGACTCACTGTCTAACTATTATTTAATGGCTACACAGCAAGAAACTACGATCATTTGTCTACCTTTTCGCGAAGAAAAAACTCAGTGCGCCGTTCAGGGATCGCGCAGTTGCCGTGTCTTTCCCGAGACCTTCCCCGTGCGGCCAGCCATACCCGGGCATTCCACGGAGAAAATTACGCAATCCCCCCTTCGGCCGGGGGTGTTTTCGTGTGTGGTTATCTTTGTGTCTTTTGTTTTTTTTGTTTTTTTTGGTTTTTTTGTTGTCCTTTTTTTTGTTCACTATCATTGTGTAATTTGCATTCCCGTTATTGCAGTCGGTCTGTGTGAAAATTATACGTAATCGTGTTACGCGCGCGCCGCGCGATCGCGTATACGGAATTTCGGATTTAGACCGGAAGTTGATCTTTGAGGTCAATATCTCCGTTCCCGTTTTCTAGGGACGCCCTCGCTACCGCTGCGTGTAGCGCGAAAGCAAAGCGCGTTACGCGATTTGCGATTGCATCATAGTACGGAGCGGGCTTTTAGCAACAGGCTCGTGCAAAAATCTCGAAAAATATTTTGCGTGTCAAATGGGCCCTTTTCCCGTAGCGGGTCACATATTATGATGAAGTTCTTTTAAAGATTGCTATTGTACCTGCAGTGACTCCCGAGAAGGCCAAACAGATCCTGGACGCTGCCCTCCAGGACGGCTCCTTCCCACTGGGCTTTCTGAAGTCCATGGCAATAGGAGTGGCTCGCTCGGGGAAGACGCTCTCCAAGAATCACGTCTTCAAATTGATGTGCGACCCGAACTTCTCCGTTAGTACAGGAGTGTGTGAGGCTCCGATCTTGGCCTTTCGACAGCTTACTTTGGAGCTGATCAAAGCTTTGCCTTCTGCAGAGGGGTTCGTATTACTCAAGTACGAGGATATCAATCAATTTCTGGCTGACGTGGTTTGCAAAGGTTTCCTTAAAGGAAGGGTAGCGAAAGTGGTGAAAGAAATGGTGCAGGCCGCTAGCGAAGGCTCCAGTTCATCTGATGGAAGTGAGGGTGTAGCTGCAAGTAGTGTAGGCACTGGTTCAGGGGATAGTGCAGCCTCAACAGCTGTAGTCGGTGCAGTCTGTGCTAGGGCTAAGGGCCGTAATCCATTTCATCGACTGTTCAAGCTGCAGCTGGTCCTGTTCCTGGACAGCGGAGGACAGCCTCAATTCCACGAGGTCGTTGCAGCCTTCAGTCACAACGTGTCCCTCGTCCTGGTCTTCATCAAGCTCAACGAGCGTCTGGATGCTCTGTGCACCAATGCCTTCACCGACGAGGAAGGAAAGTGGTTTACGGAGCAATGCCCCTCACTGCTCACCAACGAGCAGATGGTGGTCCAGTTTGTCCACACCATGATGTGCAAGCCCGTGGCCGGCAGCGAAGGCATGCACACCAGGTTCATGGTGATCGGCACTCACAGGGATCTGATGCACGAGTGCGACGAAACCCTGGAGCAGAAGAACGAGAGGCTGGCCAGCCTGTTTCTACCGGCTCTGGAGGAAAACCTGGTCATGAATGGCGACGACATCATCTTTGCCGTCAACGCCAAGAATCCCGACGAGAATGACGACAAATGCTTCGATCTGATCCGCGAGAAAGTGGCGGACTTGAGCGGGGCCCTGGATGTGGATACCCCGATAGCGTTCCTCGTGTTGCTGAACGACGTGAACAAGTACGCGGAAGAGCAGGGAAAGAAGGTAGTGAGCATGGAGGAATTCCAGGCCATCGCTGGGAGGCTGAAGATGGAGCGACAGAGTCTGGAGGCTGCCTTGCTTTTCTTCAACAAGATGAGCGTGTGGATGTACGTGCCGTCGGTCCTCCCTGGTGCGGTGTTTGTCGACCCTCAGATGCCACTGGACAGCATAAATCGAATCGTCCAGTACAGCTTCCGGGTGGGGGGTGGTGCGATTGCAGGGCTGGCTGCGAGCGATTGTCGACTGTGGAAAGAAGGGGTGGTGAGCAACGAGATGCTGAAGGGAGAGGAGTTCCGTGGTTGCTTCGTGAGGGGTCTGTTTGAGGCAGGCGATGCTCTGAAGCTGTTCGAGAAGCTTTACATTGTAGCTCCTCTGAACGAGAGGGAGTTCATAATGCCTGCCATGCTCCAGACGGTGGCAGAGAAGGATATGGAGCGATATGTGCCTGCCCCCAGTGAGCACGTGTCCCCTCTCTTTCTCCACTTCCACATGTCCCGCATCGCTAAAGGTGTGTTTTGCTCCACCCATACCTGCATGCGCTCCAAGTATGGGTGGACCACGGCTTACACCATGGTAAAAAGTAAGAAAGTTCCAGCTTGTCTCTTCCGCAATGCCGTGCGGTTGCAGCATCCGACAAAAGCAGTTGAAATTACTCTTCTCCATGCTTTGAAGCATTTCGAAGTTCATCTCGATGCATCGCAGGCCGACCTGCCCATCATCTGTCCAGAAATCTGTGACATGCTCACGGATGCAGTGGATAGAGCAGCGAGTGCTTTCCGCTTCAAGAATTCGCGAGCCTCTGTAGCCTTCCAGTGCCCCTGCAGCCCAGACGACGTGCACACAGCCACTCCAAATGAAGCCCACTCCAACCTCATCTGCACACTGACGGGGAAGAACATTCGAGGAGGCCTTACACCTGCTCAGGGGGTGTGGCTTGGACCACGAACTGCTCCAGGTGAGACTTCGGATTGTGTGTGTGTGTGTCTTGTGTACACTCTGTTGTTTGATTTAAGTCAGTGTTGAAACTGATAATAGTGTTTTCTCCTCTTTTCCACAGTCGCCGAGTCAGCTGCAACTTCTCTCTCGACTAGTGAACCTGTGTCGTCTATCACTGACCCTCCCTCCCCGTCCTCTCCGTCTTCCACAATGGGTGAGTGAGCTCTGACTGTTTGTGTGTCTCAGAGCTACGATTCTTCACTTCTCTGCCCTTTGCTAAGTATGAAGGTTTGAAATGCTCCCAAACCTGCATGGTATTGCATTGTCAGCAAGTCTTCAGGCTTGGATTGTCGTGGGTTCGAATCCCACCCAGGGCAGCTCTCTTCTTTTCTTTGAAAAGAAAGAGCTGTCCTGGGTGTAGTTGACTTGTTTTGCCTTGCCTTTCTACCTCGTTACCAAGTTGTTGAGACATGAGTGTTATGAGTTATTAAAGTGTGTGGTAGTGACAGGGTGTGTTATATTGTCTCAGGTCCTCCAACTCTGCCTCAGTTGCTGCGTCTCAAGATACCGCAGAGAGTTGGTGCCAACTACTCCACATTTGGAATCCTTCTCCTCAACGACACAGTCGGGAGTCGAGTGCGACAGCCTCGAGGAACTGTCCAACAAGAAACCAGAGAAGATAGTTCTGCGAATTCTCCAGGAGTGGCTGGAGGGGAGGGGGGTGGAGCCAGTGACGTGGGAGACACTCGTCAAGACACTCAGAGACTGCGACCTCTCAGCTCTGGCTGACGAGGTTCACCAGAAACTGCCGTCATCTCACTCCTGATCTCGTGTACATCTCACCCTTGACCTCTCTCTCTCTCTCTCTTCGACAATGTTTGTAGCTTCACTGCATTCCATTTTGCAGCTAGCATTGAGCGTCAAATAGCCTTGGCATTTTTTTTTGCCATTTCACGAGCATGCCTACAGATTTTTTTAATCGATTACGTCAAGGAGCCTGTGAGCTTTTTGCCGTTGGAAGCAGCCTACAAGTTTCCCCCCATTTCTCAGGTACATTACAACTTTAGTTTCATTTCGTGAGTATGGCAAAGTCTACAAGTTTTTTTTGCCCATTTCACATGTTCATGTGCTAAGCAGCCAACCAGTTGTTTTGTGTACATCAAGCCTAAGTGTATTTTCCCATTACATTGGTAGGCAAGCAGCCCACGAGTTTTTTTGCCATTAATTTTATGAAAATGCCAACCACTCTACATGTTTTCCCCCATTTCATGGGTACACTAAGATGCCAGCGAGTTTTTTTGCCATTTTCAAGAGTACGGCAAGCATCATGCAAGGTTTTTTGTAATAATTATTGCACAAATACAGGAAGAATCCTACATGTTTTTTTTTACGAGTACAGTTTGTCCCTGTAATTCCAGGTTATCCCCACGGTCACCCAGACTGCGCCAACTACGATGAGGATATTCAACATCTGAAGGAGAAGGTGGATGCGGGCGCAGATTTCATCATCACGCAGCTGTTCTTCGAGGCCTCAACTTTCATCAAGTTCTACCATGACTGCAGGAGGATTGGGATTACTGTTCCCATCATACCAGGAATACTGCCCATTCAAGTATATTGAATTAGTTGTCAATTAGTCTATCCACAACATTATTTGCGTGTATACTTACCCGAAAACTTTGTATGTAGTGCCCTCGTAAATTGACATAAATATTTCTCTTCAAATTCAGTTAAATATCTGTTCCCTTTGAAAATGTTGCCACATGTATGTATGTACCTGTCACTGTGTATCGTCCAGTTAAACACCTGTTCTCGAATTTCAAGAAATATTTTGTGCCAACAGAAAGGGAAAAACCATGTGTGAATGCATCAAGTAAAAATAGGGTGTACGCCACATTATAATGTTTCCCTGTATACGCAAGTATACGCACGAGCCATACACAGGCGGAGGGGAAATCCCTTATGTAGAGCGCAATGCGTGTTGCGCGTAATGCTCTCGTGCGGTTCTGGTGTGGCTAATCATCGCCATATCGCGCATGCAAATTCTCTATTCGTTGTACTACATAATTCATTCACAAACTCAAACTTGTCCCTGTGTGTCATAGCCCCTATTTTTACTTGATGCGCTCACATGTGGTATTCTTGCAATTTTTCTCTCAGCTATAATATGTGTACAGTGGCCTCCGAACAAGGGACACTATGGGGCCAACAATCTTGTCCCTTGTAGAGAGGTCGTCCCTATCTCGGAGGTCAAATAATACACTAAAGTATTAGCATGGGATTGAAACAAGTGTCCCTTGTAGAGAGGTTGTCCCTATCTTTGAGGGTCCCTTATCAGAGGTTCCGCTGTACTCTATATACACACAATAGGGCTACAGGACATACATGTGGCAACATTTTCAAGGGAACAATATTGTAAACTGATTTTGAAGAGAATATTTAGTCAATTTACGAGGGCACTACAGACAAAGTTTTCGGTAAGTTACACGCAACTAGGTTGTGGATAGACAATGACAACTATTCAATATCTTGAATGGGCAGTATTCCTGGCATGATGGGAACAGTAATCCCAATCCTCCTGCAGTCATGGTAGAACTTGATGAAAGTTGAGGCCTCGAAGAACAGCTGCGTGATGATGAAATCTGCGCCCGCGTCCACCTTCTCCTTCAGATGTTGAATATCCTCATCGTAGTTGGCGCAGTCCGGGTGACCGTGGGGATAACCTGGAATTACAGGGACAAACTGTACTCGTAAAGAACGCAAAAAAACTTGTAGGATTCTTCCTGTATTTGTGCAATAATTATTACAAAAACCTTGCATGATGCTTGCCGTACTCTGTGAAAATGGCAAAAAAACTCGCTGGCATCTTAGTGTACCCATGAAATGGGGGAAAACATGTAGACTGGTTGCCTTCTTCATAAAATTAATGGCAAAAAAACTCGTGGGCTGCTTGCCTACCAATGTAATGGGAAAATACACTTAGGCTTGATGTACACAAAACAACTGGTTGGCTGCTTAGCACATGAACCTGTGAAATGGGCAAAAAAACTTGTAGACTTTGCCATACTCACGAAATGAAAATAAAGTTGTAATGTACCTGAGAAATGGGGGGAAAACTTGTAGGCTGCTTCCAACGGCAAAACACTCACGGGCTCCTTGACGTAATCGATAAACGTGCACAAAAAACCCGGCATTCTCGTGAAATGGCAAAAAAAACGCGAAGGCTATTTGACGCTCAATGCTAGCTGCAAATGAAATGCAGTGAAGCTACAAACATTGTCGAAGAGAGAGAGAGAGAGAGGTCAAGGGTGAGGTGTACACGAGATCAGGAGTGAGATGACGGCAGTTTCTGGTGAACCTCGTCAGCCAGAGCTGAGAGGTCGCAGTCTCTGAGTGTCTTGACGAGTGTCTCCCACGTCACTGGCTCCACCCCCTCCCCTCCAGCCACTCCTGGAGAATTCGCAGAACTATCTCTCTGGATTTCCAAGGCACTGCGCTTGAAGCTGTCGACTCGACTCCCGACTGTGTCGTTGAGGAGAAGGATTCCAAATGTGGAGTAGTTGGCACCAACTCTCTGCGGTATCTTGAGACGCAGCAACTGAGGCAGAGTTGGAGGACCTGAGACAATATAACACACCCTGTCACTACCACACACTTTAATAACTCTTAACACTCATGTCTCAACAACTTGGTAACGAGGTAGAAAGGCAAGGCAAGGCAAACAAGTCAACTACACCCAGGACAGCTCTTTTTTCAAAAGAAAAGAAGAAGAGCTGCCCTGGGTGGGATTCGAACCCATGACAATCCAAGCCTGAAGACTTGCTGACAATGCAATACCATGCAGGTTTGGGAGGGAGAGGAAGAAAGGAAGGAGGGAGAGAAGAGATGTAGACAGAGGAAGACTCACTCATTCTGGGTGTCTTGGGACTGGGAGGATTGCTGTCCACAATACCACTCATCCTGCGTTTTCGCGATCTGACAGGCAGGGAGATAGAGGACAACGGTACACGAACTAAAAGGCACAGTGAAGAAGTTGTAGCTGACTCGGCGACTGTGGAAAAGAGGAGAAAACACTATTATCAGTTTCAACACTGACTTAAATCAAACAACAGAGTGTACACAAGACACACACACACAATCCGAAGTCTCACCTGGAGCAGTTCGTGGTCCAAGCCACACCCTCTGAGCAGGTGTAAGGCCTCCTCGAATGTTCTTCCCCGTCAGTGTGCAGATGAGGTTGGAGTGGGCTTCATTTGGAGTGGCTGTGTGCACGTCGTCTGGGCTGCAGGGGCACTGGAAGGCTACAGAGGCTCGCGAATTCTTGAAGCGGAAAGCACTCGCTGCACTATCCACTGCATCCATGAGCATGTCACGGATTTCTGGACAGATGATGGGCAGGTCGGCCTGCGATGCATCGAGATGAACTTCGAAATGCTTCAAAGCATGGAGAAGAGTGATTTCAACTGCTTTTGTCGGATGCTGCAACCGCACGGCATTGCGGAAGAGACAAGCAGGAACTTTAACTTTCTTTCTTTTCTCGATGGTGTAAGCCGTGGTCCACCCATACTTGGAGCGCATGCAGGTATGGGTGGAGCAGAACACACCTTTAGCGATGCGGGACATGTGGAAGTGGAGAAAGAGAGGGGACACGTGCTCACTGGGGGCAGGCACATATCGCTCCATATCCTTCTCTGCCACCGTCTGGAGCATGGCAGGCATTATGAACTCCCTCTCGTTCAGAGGAGCTACAATGTAAAGCTTCTCGAACAGCTTCAGAGCATCGCCTGCCTCAAACAGACCCCTCACGAAGCAACCACGGAACTCCTCTCCCTTCAGCATCTCGTTGCTCACCACCCCTTCTTTCCACAGTCGACAATCGCTCGCAGCCAGCCCTGCAATCGCACCACCCCCCACCCGGAAGCTGTACTGGACGATTCGATTTATGCTGTCCAGTGGCATCTGAGGGTCGACAAACACCGCACCAGGGAGGACCGACGGCACGTACATCCACACGCTCATCTTGTTGAAGAAAAGCAAGGCAGCCTCCAGACTCTGTCGCTCCATCTTAAGCCTCCCAGCGATGGCCTGGAATTCCTCCATGCTCACTACCTTCTTTCCCTGCTCTTCCGCGTACTTGTTCACGTCGTTCAGCAACACGAGGAACGCTATCGGGGTATCCACATCCAGGGCCCCGCTCAAGTCCGCCACTTTCTCGCGGATCAGATCGAAGCATTTGTCGTCATTCTCGTCGGGATTCTCGGCGTTGACGGCAAAGATGATGTCGTCTCCATTCATGACCAGGTTTTCCTCCGGAACCGGTAGAAGCAGGCTGGCCAGCCTCTCGTTCTTCTGCTCCAGGGTTTCGTCGCACTCGTGCATCAGATCCCTGTGAGTGCCGATCACCATGAACCTGGTGTGCATGCCTTCGCTGCCGGCCACGGGCTTGCACATCATGGTGTGGACAAACTGGACCACCATCTGCTCGTTGGTGAGCAGTGAGGGGCATTGCTCCGTAAACCACTTTCCTTCCTCGTCGGTGAAGGCATTGGTGCACAGAGCATCCAGACGCTCGTTGAGCTTGATGAAGACCAGGACGAGGGACACGTTGTGACTGAAGGCTGCAACGACCTCGTGGAATTGAGGCTGTCCTCCGCTGTCCAGGAACAGGATTATCTGCAGCTTGAAGAGTGGCTCTTCTTCTGTGACCACTTCACTATCATAGCTTCAGCCTCGGCCCTGGCTTTGCTGGCAGTGAAGACTGCACTGACTACAGCTGTTGAGGCTGCACTATCACCTGAACCAGTGCCTACACTACTTGCAGCTACACCCTCACTTCTATCAGATGAACTGGAGCCTTCGCTAGCAGCCTGCACCATTTCTTTCACCACTTTCGCTACCCTTCCTTTAAGCAAACCCTTGCGAACCACGTAAGCCAGAAATTGATTGATATCCTCGTACTTGAGTAGTTCGAACCCCTCTGCAGAAGGCAAAGCTTTGATCAGCTCCAAAGTAAGCTGTCGAAAGGCCAAGATCGGAGCCTCACACACTCCTGTACTAACGGAGAAGTTCGGGTCGCACTTGATTTTGAAGACGTGATTCTTGGAGAGCGTCTTCCCCGAGCGAGCCACTCCTACTGCCATGGACTTCAGAAAGCCCAGTGGGAAGGAGCCGTCCTGGAGGGCAGCGTCCAGGATCTGTTTGGCCTTCTCGGGAGTCACTGCAGGTACAATAGCAATCTTTAAAAGAACTTCATCATATAGAGGATGGAGAGAGGGCATATGTCCCCCTTTCAGGCACTCACAAATTAAAAGGGCACACACACTTTCTGTAAAACCTTTGTTACATCTAAATTACGTGTACATCTGGTTACAAACCACAAACCACACCCAACACTAGACATGTAGGTACATAGATGCTCATGTACATTGTACACTGAAGCTGCATGTGTCCAATGAACAATGCTTAGCTAAAGATATAGCACTGGCTTCACTATCACCCTTCGAATCATGTCATTACAACAATCATAATGTAAACTCGATGTTGTTGTTGACAAACGTAATGATTACTAACTCACTCTTGAGGTATGTCTCCTCCACCTCACGTGCTGCTCTCTTTCCCTCCTCACCCCCAACTCCATACTTCAGTAGGTCCCAAACGTGTTCCCAGGTAGGACAGGGGTGACCGGCCAGCCATGTAGTGATCAATTCTCGTTTCGCCTCCTCATCATCATAAAATTTTCCTAGTATCTCATCATGCTGGCTGAGTGGGATGTTAAGAAAGATGTTGGAATCCACACTACTCCACAGTGGGACATGGCGTGTGACTTGTAGGATGTTGGCTGGAGTCAGGCTGGGGTCTGGAGGAGTGAGAGAGGGAGAATATTCAGTGACTATTGTTTCCTATCACAAATGTATAGGCAAGGTTAGGTATGAATATTAATACACACAGCTGCTAAAATTAGTAACATCCATAGTACACAGAGGTATGCTTCGTTGAACATGCATGAAGACATGATTGACACAGTGAATGTGTTAGTCCACATGTAATGGTCCAGTGCATGACACACAGTTTTAGCTGACTCTCAAGTGCAGGTCTTTGGGGAGGGGATCAGGGAGGGCAGTACACACAAGTACAATGTACATGTGTGAGTGTAGGTCAAATACAGGACAGTGTGTTGGAACTGTTGTTACATGTTCCGTAACAAATTTAGATAGAGAATCAGCTGAAATAATCCAACGCAAGTTAGATTTCTTATTCAGTACGTACTCCAATTGATGTGCGCCTGTTTATAACATGTGTACGTGGGTTGTGCTGGAAAAACAGCGCTGCAGGCACTTTAAACAACTTTTGACATGTGAGTGTACATTAGTATTTAGTATACAGAAATTATAAAAAGCAAGGAGACAAGACAGGGATGACCTAGTGCATATGTGATGCATTAGTATATACAATAAATGAGGGCTACATACAGTATGAGTCACAAAAAAGTAAACGAAAGTAACGTTACTTCGAAGTAAGGTTACCGTAAAGTTACGTTACTTGAAAGTGACTCAAAGTTCCTAACTAGTAACCTGAGCGTAACTTCAGAGTTACCACAAAGTAACCTGAACGTAACTAACTAGTAACCCGAGCGTAACTTCAGAGTTACCAACTAGGAAGCAAGCTGAAAGTAAGCTTGGCGGTACACCAACGTTACCAAAGCGGCCCATGTTCCACGCATCACACTCAGCCAATCTTCACGGAAGAATGGGTAGCTTACGGTCTGAGTGTCCGCTGTAGATCCTCGGGCTACATGTCGCTCCCCAGCAGACGGTACAGCGCTGCCCGATAGCTCGGGAAGACACGCGCGAAGAACCACGCGGCTGGCCGGCCCCGGCCCAGCTCAGCCACGCCCTCTCCACCCGGAATCACGCGTGTCGCGCGCTGCAGAGTCGCGCTAGAGCCACGGCTAGGCCGTCGGTCGCGAACTGGAAGGCGCGGCCGCGTTACCCAGTGGAGCTAGCCGTGTGTAGACCGAGCGCAACCAAAGAAAAGTTCACAGTAAGGGGACAGAGCTAAGGGCCTGGGCTAAAGACCTTGTTACTTCAGCGTTACTCCACGATAACCTTACAGTGACTAGAAAGTTACTACTCGGTAACTTTACAGTGACTTCAGAGTTACTCCTGAGTAACCTTACAGTGACTTGAAAGTTACTGAAGGTTACTAGATAGTTACTAACGCGTAAGTAACTTCGCAAGTAACGTTACTTTCGTTT